TATTAGTTTAATTTTTCTTATTTTTATAGTAATTATAAACACCTATAAAACACTTTGGGTAACATTTAATTAGAAACAGGACCAATATGAAGAAAACTCATAAAATTCTCTATGGAACATGAAGTAAGTTCTTGAGTAAATAAAGAGGCAGTGCCGTTTCATACAGAAGATTCAATATTGGCCAAATGTCACTTTCTCCTAAATTGACTTCTAAATGTAATACCAATATACTTTTTAACAGTAGCTTCGTGAGTCTATATAGCTGTGTGTGTAACTTGGCAAAAAATTCCAAAGCTCATTTGGAAAGAAGAAATGTCAAGAACATCCAGGAAATGTTTAATCCTGAAGATAATTGGAGAAAATAGTTAGGAGACAATTTCCCTCACAAATATTTAAATGTGTCAGAAAGTTAGCATACTACTACACTCTGTCGCAGGAGCAGGGAAAATGGACAGATTAATGACAGAAAATAGGCCAGGAAAAGACTACAGTATATGTGGGAATGTGGTATGTGCCAGCACAAAACTGTGGGGGGAAATAGTTTCCCAAATAAATGTCATTGAAACCCAACCATGCGGACAAAAGATGTACCTGTACATCATTCCCTCCGTAAATTGCAGAATGGATTAAATAAATAAATGTAAAATGTTTAAAAACATGAAGACACTAGAAATTTTTTTTTTCCTAGCGAGGGTAAAAAAACACAGATTCTTAAATAAAGAGACTATTAAATCTGTGCACCTAAACAAGCCCCTTCCCCCTCCCAAACAACCTTGGCATAAAAATGAGAGACAACTGGAAAAGGATTAGCATCGCCTATGACAAAGCGGCAATAGTCTATTCAAATAGTTTTTATAAATAAACCAGAAATTAACACATGCCTTAATGGAAAAATGGGCAAAAGCTTGCCATATTGGCTAAGATGAACCGAACACTGTTGACAGGGTGATAAAGGCTGCCCTCATGGGTGGTGGCAGTGAGTATGAGTTTGTAACAAACGACCAGGAACTGGGTGGCCTGAAACAACAAAAATTATTGTCTCACAGTTTGGGAAGCTAGAAATTGGAAATCAAGGTGTTGGCAGGGCTTTGCTCCCTCCACAACCTCTAGGGAAGAATTCTTCTATGATTCTTTCAGCTTCTGGTAAACCTCAGTGTTTCTGGATTTGTAGAAGCATCAATTCAATCTCTGCCTCCAGTGGCACATGGCATTTGTTGGAGGCCGGCACCGGCAGGTCCAGGGGTCCCTGAAGGATGGATGGTGTCGGCGAGAGAGTGAGTGAGAGAGCCCCGAGATTCTTTCTGATCACCAGGCAGGCATGTTCATCCTGTCGGTTTTGGTGTCTTTATTTACAGGTCAAATGTTAACATGGCATCGGGAAATGGAATTTTTACAATGGATAGCTCTTTGTGATAAGATGTTTTTGGAAAATGTACAGAAATAGGTTTTACAGAAGTCTTCTTGCAGAACTGCTCCAATTATAGTGAGGTTGAGTAACTAAGAAAATAACAGGGTGTTCAAATTTTAATAACGCTAAGATTGAGTCATAGGTTTGTAGATACTCTTATCCATCCTCATCACAGCTGCCAGGGTAAGGGAAGGTGTTTGTGGAAAGTAGGCCTTAGGGAAGGGGCTGCTATACACCATCAGTTAGCAAAGGTGTATGTACTAACTTATCTTCTGCCCTTATCTGTTCCTTCTAAGTTAGGCTCTTTGTCTCCACGCGAGACTTGATTTTCCTGTTATATTCTTTATTGCACCAGAGAGCCAACCATACCTTTAAAGAGTTTAGCTCATTTCCCATACATAGAATAGCCTCTTTGAGTGCATTTACCTTTGTGTCTACTTTTATGATTTCTTGAATAGCTAGGGCATGAGAGACATTTTTGGTTAGTTGATTTACATGTTGAGCTATACGAACATCCTGAACTAACGCAATGGTAGAAACAGAATTGTACATGTAAAAGTCAATCTTTTGTGAGTAAGGGTCATTAGCCTGTTTATAGCTCAAGGGAAAGTATGGAGGGAAACAGGACCTTCTGGAGACACAATGCCTGTTCCCATAATCAAAAGAAGAAGTTCCCACAATAAGTTCCTTCACAAGGTGCAATCATCATACCAGGGCCGGAATAAGGGGACAGGTCACTCCCGATATTGATCAACAAGGTACCTTAGGGGTCAGTGCTCAAGGAGAAATAATTGAGTGGGGGTGGATATCGGTCGTCATCTGCTTGGCAAGAGACCATGCAAACTTGCTTTAACCTCACCAGGAGTTTTCTCGACTAGTGGGCTCAGAATGGCTCCTAACAGGCATTCTTCCTGTGTCTTTGTATGTCTACACGACCATCTTACCTCTGTGTCTCTGTCCACATTACCCTCTTCTCATAAGGACATTCATCATAGCAGACAAGGGCCCGCCCTAATCCAGTATAATCTCAGTTTGACAACATGTTTCCGTCCCCCTTTCACAAATTTACCACAAATGGGAGAAGTTACATGCCCAGTTTATTTTTTAAATCAAAGATCTATAAAACTGGAGAAAAATGTCAATGACTATTATGCCCATTAACAGGGGAACATTAAGTAAATTCAGAATGTAACACCATGCACACAGTTAGGGCTCTATTTTTTTAATGTTTATTTTTGAGAGAGAGACACACAGAGCACAAAGAGGGGAGGGGTTGAGAGAGAGGGAGACACAAAATCTGAGGCAGACTCCAGGCTCTGAGCTGTCAGCACAGAGCCTGACACAGGGCTCGAACCCACGAACCGTGAGATTGAGACCTGAGCAGAAGTCAGATGCTTAACTGACTGAGCCACCCAGGCACCCCTAGGTCTCTGTTTATTGACAGAAACACAGTCTAGATGTCTTGCTAAGTAAAAAAAGTGATGTGATGTCATTTCTATAAAATTACACAGGGGCGCCTGGGTGGCTCAGTCGGTTAAGCGTCCAACTTTGGCTCAGGTCATAATCTCACGGTTCATGGATTCGAGCTCCACGTCGGGCTCTGTGCTGACAGCTCAGAGCCTGGAGCCTGTTTCTGATTCTGTGTCTCCCTCTCTCTCTGCCCCTCCCCTGCTCACTCTGTCTCTCTCTCTCTCTCTCAGAAATAAGTAAAACATTAAAAAATAAATAAAATTGCACAATTTCCCATTAATATAAAACAATACACTGATGTCCACCACAGTATACTTTATCTTGAGGAATGGATATCAGAGTTTTACCAGATGACATCTCACATGTAGTGCATAAAGTAAGAGCCTTTCCACACTTTTTATAAAATATCAGGAGAGACCAAAGGGGATGCAGCTGTTGGTGAGGTCCAGAGGACCCCACACTTGACGACAAAGAGCCAAGCTGGTACATCTCAAAGCAGAAATCTCAGATGGGTCCCATCCTAGCTGGGCTGCTTGCTTCATGTGTAAGTGAGGATCACAGCACTTCAGGAAGTTGACCCAAAGAATAAGTACATGAAGTTTTGGGATAGACTGGCAAACTGAGAAGTGCCACTCATTCATGCTTCTCCTATTTTAGGCATATTTCTAATCCCTGGAATTTCTGCTAGAAAAGAGATCAATGTATATCCATGGAGCTTATGGTCTGAAAGTAGAAAACTGATAATAAATGTATAATACAGTGACAGTCCCAGTAGTGTGAAGAAAAACGTACATATAATATAAATATGTATTTCACATGTGATACACCATGTAAATATATTCTACAGTGTTGAATTTGGGAGTCTGAAGGAAAATACAGCAGGCTAACCACAGAGAGACATGAGGGGTTGCTATTTTTGGTGGGGGTGGTCAGGAAGGCTTCTATAAGGTGGCGTTGAGCTCATTCCTGACAGAAGCCATGGAGGAGGGGAGAATCTTATGGATATTTAGAGGAAGGGCTTTCCAGGTAAGGGGACAGTGGCAGAAGCCCTACATGCACTAAGAGAAGGTCAGTGTGGTCCTAGATAACCCCGAAGAGAACGGTAAGAGATAAGGTCAGGAAGGTAGGAGGGCAGGCAGATCACAGGAGCCTCTGATGGTACGGGTTTTGCATTGCATTTTGCTTGAATGAGATGAACCCATGGAAGGGATTTGAGTAGAGGATTGACATGACCCAACTTCTGTTTTTAAATGATGGCACTCTACACAGCATATGGAGTAGGGAGGCAGAAGTTAAAACAGGGAGACCGACCTGAGGCTAGTGGCAATGGCCAGGCAAGGGATGCGGGTAGCTTGGCCTTAGTGTTGTTGGTGGAGAAAGTGAGGAATGGTTGGACTCTGAAGAGATTTCAAAGGTAGAACCTGTAGAATTTGTTGGTGGAATGTGTGTTTGCAAGGGAAAGAGAAGGAGATAGCTTCAAGGATTTTTCCACAAGCAATTGGAAAAATGGAGCTGCTATCTGAGTCAGGGAAGATGAGAGAGTGGGGTTGGGTAATCAAGAGTTCAGTTTTGGACAGTGGGTGGCATTCAAATATAATTATTAATTGCACCCTGTCAGGGCAAAGTGATGAGAACGTACTTTTATTTTTATTTTTATTTTTTTTAGAGAGAGTGAGTGAGTGGAGGAGAGGGGCAGAGGGAGATAAAGAGAGAGAATCTTAAAAGCAGGCTCCATGCTCAGTGTGGAGCCTGACGCAGGGCTCAATCCCATAACCCTGGTATCCTGGTCTGAGCTGAAATGACTGAGCCACCCAGATGCCCCAAGACAGTACTTTTAAGACCAGAGTTATTTTTCTCCCTGGCATTTCCTCCTCACTCCACCACCAACTTCATGTTAGCATCAGTTACCTTCTCCAATGATGGGATTAACATACCTTAATGTAGATGAATGAGGGAGGAGCAGAGAGAGGAAGTACCTACCCTGCTACTCCAGTTATAGACCCTGGCAGTAAGAGGCAAGCCACCACTGTGAGCAGAGCTCATCAGCACTGACTGTTCCCAGCGAGAAAGCAGCAAGATTTTCTTCAGCTAGCATCTCTCTGATCATTAGTAATTGCTCTAGGGCACAGAGTGGACACCGTGCTCATCAGTAAAGGAGTACCTGGTGGGTTTTGCTGGCTGATACCATGAACTGGAGAGTGAGAAGAGCAAGCTCTGCTTTGGGAAGGTTAGAAACATCTCATGTTAACAGGTAAGAAAAGTTATCTTCATTCTTTGCTGTTTTTTTTTTAATCTCATAGAATTTTCTAGAATTCCGCCTGGGTCCAGACAGTTGTTTGCTGTAACAGTGAGTATTATGAGGTAACTGTTTATGTTGTCAAGGAAGCAGGTTTTGCTCCTCGGGAGGAAGGTAAAGGGAAGTTTGTCACATGCAGTGTGGAGGCCAACCACACCCCCTTGGGCTGTCCTGAACATTTGCGGGCTACAGTGGCTTTTGGGCTCAGTGTCCTTAACTGGCTGTTGCTATGGAATTTTGTCTCTGGAATCAGAGCCTCTGCTTTGATAATTTAATTGCACTTAAAAAAAAAAAACCCTTGAATTTGTGTAAATCCTGAGAATATCACAAGAGGGCTTTTGATTAATGCAAAATTAAAGCTCTTTCAGAAGCATTAATTGAATAAAAAGAACACTATTCAAAGAGCTCTAAGGACATCCCAAACCATTTGAAGATAACAGACTCTACCGTCATTATCTTAAAATCTGGTTAATTAAAGTACTAAGTGTCATCAAACATTTTGACTTCGGGGTACTTTATTTATATTTGTTTCTATCTAATTTTCTTGTTGTCCTGACCATTAGGTTTGTGTTCTTTTTTTTTTTTTTTCTTTTCTCACACTTCCCAGTCATGTTAGCAGGAAAAGAAACCTTAAAGTATTTTCAACTCAGTCTTTCAACCCATCCTTCTTACTGGTCAAGTGTTGATGAAGAATCGTAATTAAAAAGTGATCCATTTCCGGGTGCCTAGATGGCTCAGCCAGTTAAGCAACTGACTCTTGCTTTCTGCTCAGGTCATGATCTCGCAGTTTGTGAGATCAGGCCCTGCGTTGAGCTCTGTGCTGATAGTTGTGAAGCCTGCTTGGGATTTTCTCTCCCCTTCTCTCTCTGCCTCTTTCTTTCTCTCTCAAAATAAAAAAAAGTAAACATTTTAAAAAATGATCCATTTTTTCTGAGGTGGCTAAGATACAATGTGCTTTAACTTGGCAGAAGAATGTGACAGAAACAAACTGTAAACGTATTATTATGTTAGAATCCATATTGACAAAAAATACACTTAAAAATCGTTGCCACATGCACCATCTAGGAGGCTCAGTACTATAGCTCATAGGAGACCCACGTTGCCTAGATATTTAGAAAACTGATTACTTACAACATACAGTTGCTGGTAGGGGGTGCTCCAAAGTTGGTTAAATCAACAGCTCAAAAGTGTAATTTAAAACAAATATCCTATGTATCCTTGTTCAGGCTTTGGGCCTCACATTCATCTGGGTTGCATGTGGTTACCGCATCTCTAATGAGAGTCCACACATCTGAGGCAAAGGAAGAACTTGGTGTCCCCTTTTCTTCACTTTTTAAATTTCTTCTTCTATTTTTAAATTTATTTTTAAGGAGAGAGAGAGCCCATGCACGTAAGTGGGGGAGGGTAAGAGGGAGAGTGAGAGAAAGAATCTCAAGCAGGCTCCACACCAAGCAAAGAGCCTGATGTGGGGCTCGAACTCACCAACTGTGAGATCATAACCTAAGCCAAAATCAAGAGTTGGATGCTTAACCAACTGAGCCACTCTTCACTTTCTAAAAGCATGAAACCTTTCCCAAAAGCCACCCAGTGTTCTTCCACTCACATCTGATGGGACAAGTTTTGTCACCTACATTTGACTAAGCCCAAACCGTCCAGGAGAACAGGTTATCTTTGCTGTCTTAGATCTCATGATTCGCCCCTTGGGACCAAGGAGGAGTCCCACCTCTCATGAAGGGCATGCTCGCACTCCCCTGCCCTTCCCCCATCTACGAAAAGGCTGAGTTCTGTAGTCAGAGAAAGGGTGGGGACAGAGGGCTGCTGGGAAATACATGGTCCCTCTGGGTTTCTTCCCATCTTTTTAGCTGCTCATTTGTAGGCCTTTTACTTCTCTTCCTCTGGCTGTCCTTGAAATATCGGGATTCCTCAGGACTCAGCCTGGGCCCTCCTCCCTTCTCTGTGTGTACTCTCTGCTTAGACAATCTCATCCAGTCCTGTGGTTTTAATTGCCGTTTACATGCTGGCAGCCCTCCAAATTGCTATCTTCAGCCCATACCTCTCCTCTGAGCTCCACATTTGGCATACAACTACCCACTCGACAGTTCTACTTCTGTGTCTCAGAAGCATCTCAGACATGCACGTCCAAAACTGAACTTTTAATTTTCCCCCAACCAGCCCCTCTGCAGGACTTCACATCCTAGAAAACAGCATCTCCATCTGCCCAGTGTTTCAGAACGGATGCCCGGGAGTCAGTCTTGACCCTTACTTTCCCTGACTACTCATCATGATGACTTTTCTTTTGTGTCACTCCAAGGGTCCAGAGTGGGCGCTCAAGAAATATTTGTTGAAAATTGATTGAATGTATTAATGTGGTAAATACCTTGATTGGAGAATGGAAATGTGAAGGGTGAGGGTAATAATGGGTGGCATCCTGATAAAAGATGTTCATTCTGGGATAAATTGAGAGAAACATTCACAGTGCTTTCTGAGAGGTATAATGCCATCTTCCTCCCCAATTCAACATAACCCCACCAATCTTTTTTGTATGTTTATTTATTTATTTTGAGAGAGAGAGATAGAGAGCAAGCAGGGAAGGTGCAGAGAGAGAGAGAGAGGGTGACAGAGAATCCCAAGCAGAGATGTGGGGCTCAAACTCATGAACTGATCACGACCTGAGCTGAAATCAGGAGTTGGGCACTTAACTGACTGAGCCAGGCAGGTGCCCTCCACTGATGTTTCTGACAGGACTTCCATGAGCACTAAAGGAGGGTGGAGATGGAATCTTATAATTTACTTGGATTTCTCTCAGAAGCTTTGGCCTCCATAGTGCTCCTGGTAGCAAAGCCATGTTTGATAGTGCAGTGCACAATGAGGGCCCAATGTGAATTGAAGTTGTTATGAATGACCTGCATTTTCTCTCAAGAAGGCTTGTGGTCAGTGACTAATGAAATGGAAACCTGAGGGATGTTATTCTTGTCTTTTCCACCATTAATGATGCTGATAAACCATGATGTTGGAAAGATGGAGAATTATACCAGTCAGCTACTGCTACATAACAAGCACCTATGACATCTTGAGCATCTATTTCCTACGCATCTTCAGCTTGGCTGAAGTGGCTCATCTAGGCTGGGCATTGCTGGGGTGGTTCTTGATGCTGTCCATCTAGCTGGGTTTGACAGGGATGGCTTTGTTCCACTTGTATTCATTCTGGGTCCCAACCGAAGGGGCAGCAGCTTCACAAAGGAAGTCCTTTTCAGGGTGATGGCAATAAAGGCACAAGAGGGCAAACGGAAGCATTTGAAACCTCTTAAATCGTAAGCTCAGAACTGCCACTCAAAGCTGCCACTTCGGCCAACCAGTCAAAGCAAGTGACAAGACCAAGAGCAATATGTGATGCCATTTGTGGCAAGATCTACTGAGTTACAGGGCAAGTAGCATGGATATGGGGGAGGGGTGGTGAATCAGAGTGATATTTCAATCCGCCCGAGTGTGTACTACATATCAAAGAAAACAGAAGAGAGATCTTAGGTTCAGCTTGAACTGATCAAGCCTAAGGTACGGCTGCATTTCCTCTGTTCCTATCTGCTTGTCACTGTAATTCAAACTACGCCTTACAGTCCCTTTAGAATACGGTATCCACTGTAGTATCCATCCCTCCCAGAGCCATTCCATTAGGTATCTATTCAGGAATGCCCAGACAACTTCCCAGGCTGGTGCCCTGGATGTGAGTTCCTCTAGTATGGTTGTTATGGGAAACATTCCATTTCACATCTGCTGACATGATTTGCTGCCTCTCTAATTTTTTTTTAAAGGAGAAAGAGACTCACATTCTGATGGCTGTAAAGGATAATGAGTAATTTATTCAGAGCTATATACAAATCAGACTATCATCTTCCAGACAGAATCAATAATATAATTTTGAGCCCACACACATTGACGAATGCTAACGCTTCAGCGCAGCTGGGTTGCTATGGGCAACCAGGGCATGCCAGCTCATGATCTGAGCTGGGCCCATGTCTTCCAGCCTGGTAAGCACATTCCGCAGACAGAATCTGTGGGAGCCAAGGATGTTAGTGTTGGCTCTGATCTGGCTGCTGCACAAATGCATCCCCATGATGGTTTGGATTAGTTCTTGTTGAACTGCTCAGCTTTTTTAAACACCTCTTTGTACAGGACTTCTTCAGTATCCCTCTTGTGTCTGTGTTTAAGCAGGCTGGGGGATGGGGTGGGGAGCATGGAAGGAGCTGTGTAGAGTAGAGCAGGTGATAAGAAACTGCTATGGCTGCCGAAGGTCAGAATAGTGAAGGACAGTACTCAGGGCAGAGTTGAAGGAGCAGGCGGGTTGGTCAACTGGAAAAGTGAGCCCCAAGTGTCTTCCCCAAAAGAGGGCCTGATCAGACATTGGGAGCCGACCTATGCTGGTTGGGAAAGCAAGAGCAAGAAACAAAAAGTCACGAAGGGGAAGGAGCAGGTGGTTGAGCACAGGCAGGTGCTCAAATAGTGGGAATGTGGTGAGAGGCAGGCAGGTCCCATTAAAAGAGCTTCGGGAAGAGAGGGCACACAGGAATGGTCCACAATGGTTCCATTTAAATATGTCAGTACAGGGGCGCATGGGTGGCTCAGTCTGTTGAGTGCCCAACTCTTGATTTCTGCTCAAGTCATGATCCCAGGATCGTGGGATCGAGCCCTGCGTCAGGCATGGAGCCTGCTTAAGATTCTCTCTCTCCTTATGCCCCTCTTCCCCACTCATGCTCTCTCTGTCTCTCTTTCTCTCTCTAAAAATAATTTTTTAACTGTCAGTACAAACCGAAATTCACCATCAGAGGATCTTAGCTCAGGCAGCCACAACAGGATACCACGGGCCTGAGGCTTAAACGGCAGACATTTATTTCTTGTGCATCTGGAGGCTGGAAGCCCAAGCATAGGGGTGCTGACATAGTGGGGACAGTGGGAGTCTT